GAGCTAGCTTCAAGGGGTGGATATGTCCTCTAGAGCCTCAGGAGGTAGTTAGCCACTCCTCTCAGAATCTGAAGCTGATCATCTTATATACCTTGACATTAAAAAACAAGTGTAGAAACAAATTCATTCTTTTCTATTAAGTGGAGCTTGCTGAATAAAATCTTGGGACAGAAGGGAATTGTCTTCTTAGAAGCAAAGACATGGTTTGTGGGATGGGGAGACTGGTCTGCATGTCTGGGGCTTGGGGCAGCATGGGCAGAAGGGATCACACATCTTTTCCTTGTCTTTGCCCTTGCATGAGGTATGGTCATGGCCAGCATGGGGGGCAGGGGAGCATGTGGCCCTGGGGACAATGGCTTGGTGTGCACACACTGCTGTGGCTCTATAGGCACTTCACTCAGGGTCTTTGAAAATATACACAGGGGCCAGCTGGAGAAGACTCATGGGGGGATGTTCATCCCCAGGCTTCTAGGGAAATCTGAATATTTTCAGTAGTAAATGTCAAAGAGTTGGATCCATGTGCCATGTTGTTGAAATTCTAAGCACAGAAAGTCGTGGTCATGTCCTGGAGGATGTAGGACTGACCACGCCTAACATCTTGGATTTCTAGGCTCTTGCCTTCTCTAAAGTTTAATTAGCATAAGATAGTTGTATACACTCAGGACTGAGCACTGGGCCACCAAATTGCATGGGGCATGCTCTCTGTTGGGGAACTAGTTACAGCCCTGAGTCTCCAGCTGACCCACAGAGAAAGAGGGACAGAATCTGCCTGGGAGTGGAAAGACTGTTAGGGGGACAGTTCCAGGAGGACTGGAGAAGATACTCTGGCAGGAACAAGTGCATGTGCAAAGGCTTGAGCACATGAAGAGTGGTCTGTTTGGGAAATGGTGCATTTGGTTCTCTGAAGCTGGAAGGGGCATGCTGAGGGCACTGAAGGACAGTTGATGAAGCTGCAAAGGTGGGGGAGGGAGGTTACAAGCCAAATTTGGGAGGACTACAACCTTGAATTCTGAAGTGTTGGGAGATTTTTCAATTACTAAATAAATGTGGGGTTTTGTTTTGTTTTGTTTTTTTGTCTTTGCAACTGAGACGGTTTTAGAGCGATGATGAGGTTAATTTTCCCATTCAACAAGATTTGTGCTCGTGCTATTACCCTGGACCTGGGATATGACCTGCTGTGCCAAGACAGACAGAGTCTTCTGACCTCCCACTCGTATGATCAGCAAGTAAATCCCTACCTAAATTGATGACAAATGTGATAGGCTGTTCTGATGGCGATCCTAGGCGGTAATGACAGTGGAGGGTAGTCAGGGGAGAACTCCATGAGGAAGTGACTTTCGAGCCATTTGAAGAGAGAGAGAAGCTTTCCAGGCAGAAGGGACATGTACATACACTTGTTGGCCTGTTTTCATGCATGTGAAATGAGTACTGTCTATGCAGTCAGGATTCTGAGGGGCAGTGGGGCATCATGCTTGGAGCTAAGGGATTCCTAACACCCAAGGAGTCACCCAAGAGCCAGAATTCTCTCTGCTAGTCACATCTCATATCTGGCTATGCCCTGTGCCCCAACAGACAGAGAGTCCAAGATAAGTTCACTTTCCTTTTATAAGATCTGGCCATCTGTCCTGGCCTCTTAGTAGTTTGCTTTGTCTCTGAACAATGACTCCTTCAGCCAGGCTTAGAGCTTAATTATGGCTCCTCATACTCACTTCTGCCCTTAGCCTTTTAAACATTTTGAGTGGATTCTGATCTGTGCAAAAAGCTCCAGTGAAGCTCTGCTTCCTCGGGCATAGTTAGGCCAAACAAATCAATCCTGAAATCCCCAATGAGTGCTGTCTGCTGAGTGCTGGTGGCCATTGACTGCTTTAAATGTCTAGCTCTTGGGGGAAACTGTCCCTGGGTTGGTCAAGTCAGCATAGCCTCCCTACCAGTAGCTGGGGTGTGGTAAAATGTTGGTTCACATCCTTCTCCAGATCTAATTGCCTCTGTAACAAATAGGAGCCCTTGCAGCTCTGGGCCTGGCTCAGCCTTAACCTCTGTGACATAGCCAATTACTCACTTCCTGGGGGTCACACAACTGGTAAATAATAGAGCTGGGATCTGAACTCGGGCAGTGGAGAGCAGAGATTCAGAACTGAGATCTTTTGTTCAGTCAGTGATGGAAGGTTCCACACTCATCCTTGAATGAAAGAACAAATGGGAAAACGCTATAGGTTTGTCAAGGGCTTTATGAATATAGTATAATACCCAGTTAGGCCTCTAGCCCTCCCCAGCTAAACAGACAGAGGTACTGAAACATCCACAGCCAGAGCTGAACTTGTGTAAAAACCTAGAAGTCAAGCCCCTGCATTTAGGTTAGGTACTATCTATTCCAGCATCTGATTTCCGCTTGTGTGTGCCTCACAGACAGCTGTAGGGCCAAAGGGTGCTAAAGGGTGCAGTGCTCAGTGAAGAACTAAGACATCTGCAACTCCAGACTGACAAAGAGGGGCCTAAGGTCTGGGGAGCAGAGGGAAGTGGGCTGTACAGACAAACAGATGTGGGTGCAGCTCTAGGCAAGTTCTATAACCTTCCTCGGCCTCATGTGCTCCATCTACAAGGTGGGCAATCACAGCCCTACCTTAGAGAGTCACAGTGAGGCTTAAATTACAAAGCCACAGTGTTGGCAAGCATAGCGCAGTAAATCACCCACTTTTGGCTGTCAGGCTATGCCTTACAGCCAGCTGAACACAAGCTCATCTTTCCTGAGCAGACCCCCTTCTTCCACAGGGCCGTGCATTGGAGAGTCAGTCTCCAGTTGACCAGAGTCCTACCTCCTACCTTCCCAAGCTGCCTTTGTTCCACTTCTGTTCGTGCACTCCCCTTCCATGGTTGGGGAGTCGGATTGCAAATGTATCTCTTAAGAGGGATTCCCAATTTTTAACCAAAGCCTGAGCAAAACTGAAAAATTTTGAACAGTGTGAATTGAGTGCTCCTGGCTCTGATCACCCAGAGCATTTTAACAGCTCTGTACCAGGTCAGGCATAAAACTAGGCTCCAAGCCCCTGACCATTCCCATTGTGGCATTTATTACATTGAAGCACTCGGTATTACATAGCTTGTTTCTCTGTTCAACATGGCTCCTAGCTTTCCTGGAATCCATTATAGGCCTGGCTTAATATTGGATGAACAGATGAACTTTTAAGTTGAATTTTTTATTTTTAGGTCATTATAATTTGCTTGCAGTTATGACTACAGAAGGATATGTGTATCCTTTACCCAGTCTGCCTCAGTGGTAAAATCTTGCATAACTATAATCTGATGTCTACATCTGTATCTTAGAATGAGAATACAATCCACCAGTCTTACTTGGATTTCACAGTTTTCACTGTACTCACTTGTGTGTATTTGGCCACGTGTATAAGTTTATGTTTCTACTGCGACAGTCAAGGTGCAGAACTGTTCCATCAGTCAGCACACAAGGATCCTTCTTGTCCTTCTATAACCACATCTACTTCCCAGTCCCCAGCCATTCCCTTTCCTCCTTAGACTCTTCCCCAGCCACTAATCTGTTTTCCATCTCTATAATTAGGTCATTTCAGGAATGTTATGTAAATAGAATCATACGGTATGTAACTTCTTGGGACTGTTTTTTTTCTCTGCATAATTTCACTTGAGAGTCATTCAGGTTATTGCATGTATCAATAATTTATTGTTGGGTAATATTCTACAGTTTAGATGTACCACAGTTTAACCATTCACCCATTGAAAGATAATCAAGGTTATTTCCACTTTGGGGCTACTATGAAGAAAGCTGTCATAAACATTCATAGACATTTTTTTGTGGACATGCCATTTTTTTTATGAGATAAATGCCCAAAAGTGCAATTATTTATATAGTAATATAAGCTAAATTTTAAAAGAACTGTCAGACTATTTTCATGATAATAGTATCATTTTATAATCCCACCCAGTGTATAAGTTATTTAGTTTCTCCACACCCTCACCAGCATTTGGTGGTATCATTGTTTTTTTATTTTGGTTATTCCAGTAGGTGTGTGTAATGACCTCTCATTGTGGCAGGTAAATGGATTCTGCTGTGTTTGTCCATGGCACCTGTGGCACTGAGCTTGTTACACAGATTTCCTTTGTCACCATCACTGTGATTGGTAGCATTGAAGGCAGGGCTTAAAGTCACTGCTCTGGTTCCACTCCCAGCCTAGGCAAAGACCAGGTAGAGACTTGTTTCAGACCTCACTGGAGAAAGGGCATTTAGAATTTAGTTGCTGAGAAAGGCTCTTGGTTCTGATTCAGTCCCTCACAACAAGTAGCTACTGATGTTTTGAAAAGCACCTTCTGTTTCAAACACAAAGTTTAGCATTTATGGAACAAGCTGTGGGTCTTCAGTTGCCCCAGACCAGCTGGGAACGGGATTCAGAAATGACCCCATTTTCCACCCACAGTAGAGTCTTGGGGTCAGTGGATTGGTGTATAGGTTTTTATATAATGAGGTAGAGGGAGGTAGGAATGAAAAGATGGGGCTGGGTGGAGGGAGGGAGAGTTTAACTGGTCTTTGACCAGGCAGGGAGGGGAGTATCCAAACAGAGGGAACAGGGGAAGAGGGAAGCAGTAGGTCTCTCAGTGAACGTGAGGAAAACAAGGTTAACCATTCCTTAATTGTCATTGCCTTGGCATAGGTCAGGCTGTCACAGACTGTGGCACAAGGAGCCTCACTATGTAGCCCAGGCCCCAGCTGGATAGTACCTCATAGTGTGTAACTTACGAGGTGGAAGGTGGTCTATATTGGCCTCCCTACTAGACTTTTCCTGAGGGTGGGCAGGACCTGTGTCTGTCTTGGTCATTGCTGTGTCGGACCCCAACTTTCCAGCTGTAAAATTCTCACTAAGGGAATGGCTGAGGCCCAGAGCTAGAGCCTGGTCAGGTAGGACCTCACACTTGGAAAGGTCTGAGAGGGTTAGGGACCTCACCTTCTCCACTCCCCTCTTCTCATCCATGTACAGGTTCATCATGCTTAGTGGCGTATAAGAAGACCCCGCCACCGGTCCCTCCACGCACTACGTCAAAGCCGTTCATCTCAGTCACTGTCCAAAGCAGTACTGAGTCTGCCCAGGACACCTACTTGGACAGCCAGGACCACAAGAGCGAGGTGACAAGCCAGTCAGGCCTGAGCAACTCTTCAGACAGCCTAGACAGCAGTACCCGACCACCCAGCGTGACACGAGGCGGAGTCATACCAGCTCCTGAGGCCCCTGAGCCACCCCCAAAACATGCAGCTCTGAAGAGTGAACAAGGAACGCTGACCAGCTCTGAATCCCACCTTGAGGCCATCCCCAAAAGGAAGCTATCGTCTATAGGAATACAAGTAGGGGCCCCTTTTGCACTGTGTCCTTGACTCGCTCTGTGCACCTACCTGTGTGTAATTACATCTGATGGAGGCCCACTAGGTCTCCTGGGCAAAAGGCAGTTTGTTTTGGGGTGTAGGTCCTAAGAGGCCAAGCCAAATTCCACCCATAGCCACATCTTTCTGGAATTCATCCATGCGTGTCGCAGAGTCTGCAGCCATGGGCATGTGTACCTGCTCCTCCAATGGGATGACCCAGTCAGTGAATGTAGTTACACTCAGCCAGCCATCTCCTGTCCACTGTTTGCTTGTCCACTGTATGTCCACTCCACCTTTTGCCCTGCCAGTCAACATGTAGGAGGTAGGACTGGCCTAACAGTTCTCTAATCCAAGGTCAGCTCGGGTGCGGAGACCATAGCCCTGCCTGGCTGTGGGAGCAGCGTGGAGCATAGTCGCGGATGGGCCAGGGACCCAGGACCCAGGGTCTTTGAGCCATGGGGATTACACCAGGGGAACTTTGCCCAGAGCCCTCTCGGGCTTTGGGGACAGGTAGGTGGTTTGAGGCACCAGGCCCATGTCAAAATAAGAAGTGTGGTGCCAGTCCTGGTGCCTCTGTCCATGAGAAAGAATCCAGGCAGATAGTTACCCTCGGACCAAGTATCCGAAGCCTGCAGCTCTTCCCAGAACCCAAACTCACTGTGCACCTGCAGCCGTGGCACACAGCATTGCAGGGTGCTCCAGCTTCCTGCTCCCTTGCTTTGTTGCACTACCTGCATGCACTCAGCTCACTAAGCTCTCTTCTGTTAGCTGAACTGGGAAAACTTGGGGCCCCGCCTTACAGTGTTCAGAGTAAGCGGCGTCTCTCTGCTTGACTGGGTGTCCAGACTACCAGACTAAGGTGGAGCACACTTGGGGAATGGAGGGAGGGCATCTCAATCTGGAGGGTGGAGTGATCGAGAAGGTATGGGTTGTAGCTTAGTGTTGGCAGATTCGTTGGACACAGCCAAGTTGATGACAAAGCAGAATGCAGAAGGAACATGGAATGCAGAGAGCACTGGATGACACAAAAGATCCATTGGTGAATTTCTTGCATCTGGCTGATTTTTTTTTTCTTCCAAGGCAGCTCTTCAGTTTCCCCAGATATAAGGGAATCGCCTGGAAGATTCCTGTTTCCTGGACTCCATAGGGGTCCAACGCCTGCCCTAATGACCATTCCATGAGTGATTCTTAAAAACAAGAAAGTAGCCTAGGTTCTGACCTTTGGTCCCCAATGACCAAGGGTCTTTGTTCTGGTAACCCCACCCTGTCTTTGACCAAACCATGTGCCCCATATTTTCAGAAGTCCTGACAAAGAATTAGGTGCACCATTGATTCTTTTCACCTAGAAGTTCATGTGGGGATAAAGATTTTAGTTCTTGGGCCTGCCCTGGGCTACCCCTTTCCCAGTTTCACCCTCACCCCACCCTCTTGGCAGTAGCTTCTTGCCCACCCTCTTGGCAGTAGCTTCTTGCCCACCCTCTTGGCGGTAGCTTCTTGAGATAGTGATGCCACATTTCCCGAGCTGGCTCCTGCTGAGGGAGAAATGCAGCTGCATGCCCAAAGCAAGTAGGACTCTGGTCCTCAGGCCTTTCCCCAGAAAACTGCCCTGGTCCTGATTCTTTCACAGTTAAGAGCCTGAGAGTTCCCCAGTTTCAGAGAATAGCCCATCAATGCTTTCCTACCCTTTGGTGCCTCAGGTCCTAGGTCAAGTGAAGGTTCTTCATTCATGAGCATTGACAGCCTGTCCTTTGTCCCAGCATAGAAAGGTAGGCCCGTGTTTTCCCCCACACTGTCTCTGGTGAATCCTTCCCCAGACCCCTGCACCTCTGGCCTGCACCCCAGCTCTTGTATGCATAAATAAATCTTTTTAAAAAAATAAAGGCAGGCCCGAGGCATCACTGTTGACGTGTTCCCTTCACTTTACAGGGGTGCCAGGAAGGAGTGCTCACTGCACTCAGCCCTGGTCCCAGTCCTTCCTACTGCTCCCCAGGCCTACCCAGTGCTTGAAGCCAAGTGTGACCGAGGCATCGGGATGGCATCCCATAGTGTCCTGGGATTTCATGGACCTTGGTGGTAGTTTCCAATACTGTTGTCCAAGGTTTGCCCTTAGCGCAGGTGCCTCCAGCCTGCCCTTCAGCTGCAAGGTTGGGGGAGTGATCTCTACCTGGAGACAGCCCCCAGCTTCAACTACACCAGATAACAGTTGTGGCCTTGTGTGTGTGTGTGTGTGTGTTTTCTCTTTCGTCGTCCTTTTTTTCCCTTCTCTCGGATGCGTGTAAAGGAGAGGACTAGAAGGAACGGTTCCCACCTCTCGGAGGACAACGGACCCAAAGCGATCGATGTGATGGCACCCTCCTCAGAGTAGGGAAAGCCAGTCATCTCCACCCCATCCCACCTCCCGCCCACCTGCCCGCCCGCCTCCGCGCGAATGAGCAGTGCCCGGCTTAACCTGGTCCAGCCTCGGACCCACGTGCAGTGTCCGCATGCCTGTGTCTGTCCACATGTCTGTTTGCGTCGTCCCACTAATGTGAATTTCAGCAGCAAGTGTGGTGTTTGTTTTTATTTTTGTCTTTGTCTCCGTGCTGTTGCTGTCGTTGTCCTTCAATAAGGTTGACTGCATTCAGCCAGTGCCAAAAGAGGAGCCCAGTCCCGCTACCAAATTCCAGTCCATCGGGGTTCAGGTAGAGGACGACTGGCGGTAAGTCACACAGAGATGGTGGCTGCTTCTCCCCCTTCCTCTCCCTCCCTCTGCTGTGCCTTCTCCTCCCGCTCTAACCCACTTTTCCCTGCTGAATTTCTAATAACCAAGCTGGGTTTGGGGTGCGGGCGGTGGCCCAGGCATGGGAGGCTGGGCAGGCAGGTGGGCGGGCACATGAGCACTTGCTCTGTGAGATTAATCAGCCCGATGGGGGCTAAGGCCAGCCTGAAATGGCCTGGCTACCCTGATGTTGGTGGTCTTCCTGGCCCCACTGCAGTAAACAGGCAACCTTATGACCTTGTCCATGTGTGTGTGTGCGTGTGTGTATGGGTGGGATGGGGCAAGGGCTGAGCAGAGAATGAGACAGGCGCTGTGGGACCCGCTTCAGGCGCATGGTGAGCAGATGATGCATCTGTTTCTCTGTCTCCCGTGTGTCCCAGTCGGGTGGCCTCTAGTCTTGGACCCTCTTGCTGATCACTCCTTCCTGTCCCCACCCCTCCCTACCCCCACCCACAGAAGCAGCGTGCCCTCTCACAGTATGTCCTCCCGACGGGACACCGACTCAGATACCCAGGATGCCAATGACTCAAGCTGTAAATCATCTGAGAGGAGCCTCCCGGACTGTACCCCACATCCCAATTCCATCAGCATTGATGCAGGCCCACGGCAGGCCCCCAAGATTGCCCAGATCAAGCGCAACCTCTCCTATGGAGACAACAGCGACCCTGCCCTAGAGGCATCTTCGCTGCCCCCACCCGACCCCTGGCTCGAGACAACCTCCAGCTCCCCAGCAGAACCAGCACAGCCAGGAGCTTGCCGTCGAGATGGTTACTGGTTCTTGAAGCTACTTCAGGCAGAAACGGAGCGTCTAGAAGGCTGGTGCTGCCAGATGGACAAGGAGACCAAAGAGAACAACCTCTCTGAAGAAGGTGAGTGCCCTATGAACCGCCCCTCCTCCCTGTTGAGGGGTGAATGAACACCTGGTCCCCCAGCTTCAGAACCTCTGAGCAGGGAGTCTCTTAAGTACTCTTCTTGGGTCAGTTGTGAACTCATCTCATTTTCATTCTTCCATCTGCCTAACCCAATCTTTTCTGGAAATGATTTATGGCAATAGTTAGTTGCTGTTGTACAGACTGTGGGATCGGTCATTTCTCGGCTTAAATCGTAGTTCTTCCCTTACTAGTGAAGCTTTGTCAAGTTACTCTGAATATGTTTTCTTGTCTGTAAAGTGGAGATAATTCTACCCTCTAACTGTACAGGTATATTAGGATTGAAAGTGGCAATGCAACTGAGATGGGAAAATGCACAAAATGATGTAAAAATAAACTATTATGTTATAAAAAAATAAGAAAAAATATAGTGTCAAAGTGCCAGTCACATAATTATGCCTTCAACATGTCTTTACTGAGTGTCTGCAGTGTGCCAAGCACCAGGGTCTTAACTAGGCCTGAACAGGATGTGAGGAACAATGGGTAATAAGCAGATATCTACTAGTCCATTTACACTTTTAACTGTACCAGCCCTATTTCTCAAAAGTCTTCAATAATTGAGAAATCAATTTAAGAAAAAGCCAGAAAGATGTGTAGGGATCCTAGATTCACTGTGGTTGATGAACAGATGAGGTGGTTTGGGGACAGGCCCTTTGGACACTCCAGGCCATGGCCTTCAGCCACAGCTCTGGTTCCCAGTTTGCTCCTACCATCAAACATCAGGAAGGATGGGCTCAGAGTGTCCAGAGGGACAGAGAGCATCCCACTGACGCTGATGGAGTAGGACCTGAGGAAAGCACCTTTTGATGATTCAGAAGGCGCTTCAGTCTTTGTTTTTCTGTCCTCTGGACTGGTTCCCAGCTTTGATGTCACACCCACTGTTGTACAGGGAACTGTTGTGAGGTATAAGCCTAATAACTTCTGACAATAATAGTATTTTAAAAATCAGAATGACACAAAGATCAGAGCACTAAAAGAAACTGTCCAGCCCACTACTCTACCTTCATCTCTCCCACTTTCAACTCTCACTAGCTATATATTCTGGTATTTGCCTTAATATTTCTTTCCTTATTTCTTTTTAAATGTGCTTACCCTTTACTTCCTCTCTAAAATTATCAATATGTATTGATTTCCTGCTATAATAGATGCAAATTTGGGCAGGGTTACCACCTCCCTTGCTCCTCCCCTTTTATTTATATCATAGTTTTGGGCTAAATAATAACCAGTATATCTGTTCATTATGAGCTTGTAAATGTTGTTCACTGGCAAGTGTAAAGCTGTATTGTGATTTCATCCTTTTTTTTTTTCCTTAAAATGAATGGGTGCCTCATATTTTAAACTTTTAATTTTAAAATCCTTTTTGTTTTGTTTTTTTTTCTTCACATACTTCATCAAGTTTCAGACCTACCAAGACTACTTTCCTAATGTGTGAAAGTATCAAATCATCTCACAATTTCATGCTTTTCCTGGTGCACTTTGTTCTCTGCTCTGGTCTGTCCAGATTACTTGGTGGACCAGTTGCTTAACAGCAATCTAGAGATTTCCCTTTCTGTCACCTGGGTCTGCCCTTGGCCACTTTCCCGAGATGGATATGCTTTCTAGTTCATATGGCCTTCTGCTTTCTTGGTTTTACTCTATCTCATTTTACTGGATTACATTTTCATTTGGAGATAAATTTTGTAAGCTTTATCTTTAATCAAACCTCACATAGTTTGGCTGGGAATAGAGTTCAAAATAATAAATAGATTACTCATATACATAAATGTATATATTTACATATGTGTAATTTATAAAGTTCAAGATAATTCTCCTTAAGAATCCCAAAAGCTGTGTTGGTCCATTACTTGTGCTGAAAGTTTGATACCATTTCATTTATCAGTCTTTCATACTTTTTTACTCTCTGGAAGCTTTTGGGAACTTCACCCAAAAGCTTGTGAGATTTTTCAATGATGTGCTATGTGAGATTTACCAATGTGAGATTTCTCAATGATGTGCTATGCAATGGGTATTCTGGTTCTATGGAGAAGAATCTTGCATTAATTTTTTATACTTCACTTCTGTTTATTCTATTTTCTCTCTAAAACCCATCACTCAGTTGCTGGTCCAGGTGGATTGATCGTTGGACTCTGATCTTCTTCATAATTATGTAGTTTTTGTTTACTTTCCTGGAAGGCCTTTTCTTTCATATCATGATGACTTTATTACGATATAATTCACATGCCATAAAATCCACCCCTTTAAAGTGTACAGTTCAGTGGCATCTGGTATTCTCAGTACTTTGCAACCATCACTGCTCACTAATATTTGAACATTTTCATCACTCCAGAAGAAGCCCCTAACCATAGACAGTAGTCGTTCTTCATTACTTCCACCCTATAGTTCTTTTTTTTTTTTCTTTAAAGATTTATTTATTTATGCATACAGAACTGGGGTATAGGCTAGAGGTGCAGGGGCAATGAGAGGATTTGCCAGAGACAGAGTGGGGAACAGAACAGGCAAATCTACAAAGTACACTGCTGAGGGGAGTGGCAGGTGGCAGGAGAGGTCTGTCGCACCATGTGGTCACCTCTAGGGCAGGCAGGGATCGAACTCATGCCAAAGTGGCTTTACTTCTTAGTGCTGCGCTTTTAACCCACTGGGCCACCAGGGAGGGCCCCTCCCTGTAGTTCTTAATCACCAATACTCTAGATGGTTTTGCCTGTTCTGGACACTTACATAAATGTAATCATCCAGTACATGGGCTGTGCCATTGTGGATCAGCTCCCTGGGGATCTAACTCAGGCCTCAGGCCATAGCAGTGATGATAGCATTGGGATTTAACCCCTTTGCCACCAAAGAGTTTTCTTAATCACACCCCAAACCTTGCTTGCCGAACCTGACCTCTAAATGGAGACCTTTCCACAAAAGACAGATGTAGTCACATAATTCTGCCCTAAAGCCAAGATAAATATTCTGACTGCTTAGAGAAATGGCCAATGCCCACATAGTTTGTTTCCTCTCTTGAACAGACATTTTGCATTACCTTGTCCAAATCTAAAGGCCTTTAAATTTGATAACATTCTCTTCAGGCACTTCCTGTCTCCCTTATTTTTTTAAATTGTGGTTAAATACACATAAAATTTGTCATTTCAGCCATCTTTAAGTGCAGTTCAGTAGCATTAAGTACATTCATATTGCTATGCAACCACCACCACCATCCATCTCCAGAACTTCATTTTCACTAGTGAAACTCCGTACCCATTAAGCAGTAACTCCTATTTTCCCCTCATCAGCCCCTGGCAACCACCACTCTATTTTCTGTCTGTATGAATTTAATTTCTCTGGGTACCTTGTATATGTAGAATCATACAATATTTGTCCTTTTGAGACTGGCTTATTTCACATAGCATAATATCTTCAGGATTCATTCATGTGTAACAGGTATCAAATTTTCCTTCCTTTTCCAGTTTGAATAGCATTTCATTTTATGTATATACCACATTTTTCATATCCATTTGTTTGTTGGTGGATGCTTTTGGCTATTGTGAACAGTGGCACTTCCTGTCTTTCAGGAGTACAGTTCTTCATTGATATTAGCATACTCTTTGACCAAATACATCTACTCACGCCCTTGTCTGATGGCTACAAGTTTGTTTTTTTAAGTTCTCCATGTTTTGTTTTGTTTTGTTTTGTTTTTAAGATTTATTTATGCATACAGAACCGGGGTATAGGCCAGAGGTGCAGGGGCAGTGAGAGGATTC